ACCTCTGAGATGTAGTACAGTAAAAGTACAACATGTACCTCTGAGATATAGTACAGTAAAAAGTACAACATGTACCTCTGAGATATAGTACAGTAAAAAGTACAACATGTACCTCTGAGATGTAGTACAGTAAAAGTACAACATGTACCTCTGAGATGTAGTACAGTAAAAGTACAACATGTACCTCTGAGATCTCCTGCTCTTCTTCTTGTTTCCTTCACATCTCCAGTATACGTACTTATACAGATTACTGAATAATGATGATCTGTTGTTTCTGTTTGGTTATTTGTATTGCATAGTTCTGCAGTACCACTATGTATTCATGCTCTGCAGCTTTATGTTTCTCATTCCACTGCAGCGACTCTCAACAGCAGCCTTACACGTCTTTACATTGCACAGGTGTTCCAGGTATTGTGTCCACACCCTGAACCTGCAGAGACTTGTTCCGATGCTTCTCTTCTCTGAATTATGTCCTTCTAAGCAATCAAGTTCCTTTTTAGGACTTTTAACTTCTACCTCGACCAAACACAACGCAGGGTGTCAGCATGTTACCTGAGTCTACTCTTCACATATCAGGGGGGCGGAGTCTAGGCCAGGTGTGACCACGCCCCCCCTGTATATCAGCTCAAAGCGTCTTCCCATTCTGTCCTTGTAAGGACTGGACTGCAGCTTTAGATCCATCAACAGACAAACCTGCTGCTGCGGAGGGGCGTTAGATTCACTGAACTTCACTGAACCTCTACACTGAATCCACCTGAAGGATGTGTGTTCAAAGAATATATCATTATAAACCATGAAAATACTGTAAAGGAATCATTTAAAGAGTTTTACATGTGAATGTATTTATATGGACTGAACTGCAGCTGCACCACGTGACCCCTGCTGCACTTCTTCAGGTCTACACACATAGAAGAGACTCTGCAGGTTCTAGTTTCACTCACACAACAAACAAGAAGCTGATAAAATGATGCATCAGAGATACACAGTCGGAAGTATTAAGTACTTGTACAAGTACATTCTTTTCTACCTCTACTCCGACGTATATGTTGTACTTTCTACTCCACGATACGTTTATCTGACAGCTGAAGTTACTCGTGCTGAGCTGCTGTGAAATAAGAATGATTCCCTAATATTAGAACAATAACATCGTTTATATATGAATTAAACCAATCCCTCATAATAATTCTTGAACTTTAACGTGTTCCGGAGTATTGTACCGTAGTACACAAAGTCCAAATATAAGAAATAACCAAAGTGTGAATCTAAACGCCGTTTAAGGACATTACAGGATGCGGCTGCAGACTGAAGTCGCAGCACCTCAGCACGCTGCTTTTAAAGCCTGACCTCAGATCATCGCCCCGCAGTCGGGCAGAGCCCACATTGTCCACATTTCCCGGCTGGTCCAGGCCTGTTCCAGGAGGAGCGGCGGTCTGACTCCGATTAACATGCAACAACACAACAAAGACCAAACAAGGAGTGACCGCGGGAGCCCCTTCCCGGCTGGATGGGAGTCTGCTCCCGTCAGCGTGCAGAGACTTGAAACCTGCAGCACTGAGATGATGGGACACAGTCAGAGTTTCAGCTTTGTTTTGTGCTGATGCAGAGAAATTAAAAGCAGGTTTCAAGTCTCCACAAGCTGGTCTACGTGATAATGAGCTGAAGCTGAGGCTGCATGGGAGGAAGGAACAAGAAATGTAAAGCGCGTTTGTGAAATGAGCGACAAAGCTCTGAAAATCTAGAGATTCTGTTTATTACAGAGAAAGACGAGGACGACTGGGGAAGGCTTACTTAAAGTTGAGATCTATTATCAATTATCAAGAATAAAAAGACAAGAAACATGTAAAAAATGTTCATATATATTATATATAAAAATCTACATATATATATATATATATATATACACACATTTACAGATATAGATTATTATTAAATATAATCAACTAATATATGATTATCTTTTATTACAGATTAAACTACCAGCTGGATATAAATAAATTAAAATGAGCTTCACCTTCAGCAGCTGCAACATTGAAGTGATGAACACATTAATGCATCAATAATTAATAAGACACCATACATATTAGTGTGCAGGAGTACTTGTACCGTGAGTATGTTTTGGTGCTGATACTCTGCGTGTACTGTAAGTGATGTAAAGAGACCGTGTACAGGAGAAATGTTTGGGTCATCAGCTCCTCTCTGGTGTCCTCTTCTGGAGAACATCATCGTATCATCTCACAGTCTACAGGAAGTCAGTGCTAGAGACAAACGCATAAAACACTCATTCTGCAATATTAATATCATATCTTCAAACAGGGCGTTAGCTGAGAAACACTTAAATGAGTCATTTCTTGGTATTAACTTTTTTAAAGTTTCATCGGTTTGTATTTTATAGAAAGTTCTACAATGAATGAGTTAATTCTTACTTACATCTTCATAGAAAGACTTAAATAAAATAAATGCTAACATGCTGATGTTTAGCAGGTATAATGTTTACTATTTACCCATCTTAGTTTAGCGTGTTAGCATGCTAACATTAGCTTAAATCAGTAAACAGCTTATCTGAGGCCGATTGAACGTCTTTAGTTCTGCAGGTATTTGGTCATAAATCAAAGTATTGGACACATTAACATGTTGACCTGATGATTGGTCTCTGAAGAAAAGTCAGAGGATCAATAAAGTTATTACAGTTCATCCTGAAAGATGAAAACATTTCATCACAATCCATCCCGTAGTAGTTTAGGTATTTCACACAAAGTCACAAATGTCAAAAGGAAAGTTTATTAGTATATCATCTTTCAACAACAATTCAAAGTGTTATTACATGAGACGGAAAGGCTTTATGAAAAGAAACATATTTTAAACACAAAAACACAACTGCTTCTTAACCTATTTGGCACATATAAAGAGAATCCTACAAGTCTGGAAGTCATGATTGAGGGATCTGGTGTTCTTACTAAAATTGGAGAAAATTACATTTTGGAAAATTGGAAAAAAAATGTAAAATTGTACATAGTGCATGATTGGCGACCGTGGCTGAGTGGAGAGCAGACTCGTCCTTCAATCAGAGGATCGGTGGTTCGATCCCCGGCTCCGCTAGTCGCATGTCGATGTGTCCTTGAGCAAGTCACTGAACCCCAAACTTGCTCCCGTAGCTGTGCCTACGGTGCATGAATCTGATAGGCAGGTGTCAATTAGCCCTTGCCATCAGTGTGTGAATGGGTGAATGATGACATGTAGTGTGAAAGCGCTTTGAGTGTTCGGAAAAGACTAAAAAAGTGCGATACAAGTACAGTCCACTATCCATTCCTGATGTTTTTGAGAATAACAAAAAATAAAGAAACACAAGGCAATATTAAAAGACATTTAAAGTTGCTAAATTCAATATTCACCGCATTAATATATCATCAAACAACTATGAACTATGTAAAGATACAACACGAGCAAACAAAAGATATTAAAGAGTACGGAAAACTTCAACACAGGTAATACAAATATAAACATGCTCACCCTGAGGCATCAGTACTTTTCAGCCCATGAACCCTCCATTTATTTTAGGCTACTGTCGAATATTCCAACTGAGAAAGACACAAAAGAGTTCTTAAACTGGTTCAATTGCAACAACGAAACGTTAACTAGCTAAAGTAATGATCAGACACCTTTTGTGTACAAAAAACCCAAATGTGACTTTCCAGAAAAAAATGATTTGCTTTAAAAAAATTAAAGATAAGAAAATTGTTGTTCTTTCAATGTTCAACTGAGGTTCCATCTGCTAACATCATGATTATTAGTCAGTGTGTGATCACATGATGATACACGTTCTTTTGTATTTCTCTTTTAGTTCTTTTATTTCTTCTTCTTGTTTGTTCTTCATGTCCTCCAATTGTTCTTTTAGATGTTTTTCTTTGTTACTGGAGAGGTCTTTTAACAGATCGTACTCTTTTCCGTGCCTCCCTTCTGTCTCCTGCATTTGTCTCTCTTGTCTTTTCTTCAGTTCCTGTATGTCCTCCATGTGCTTCTCTACCAACGCTGTGAAGTCCTTGGTGTATTTCTGTCTGAACTCATTGAACTCTTCAGCTTGTTTTCTGGCCTCCTCTTCATATTTCTTCTTCATTTCCTCCAGGTCCTTCTTGTAGGTTTCCTCCAATTCTTTTCTCTCCTTCTTCTCCTGCTCTCTTCTGGTTCGATCTTCTTCTTTTCTTTTGATTTCATGTTTTTCTCTTTCTTCTTCGTATTCTTCTTGGAGCTTTTTAAGTTTAGTTTGCTCTTCGTGTCGTTTCTGTTCATCTTCTTGATATCGTTTCTTCCACCATTCGTTTCTTTCCTTCTCCCAGTCTTCTCGTTGTTTTCTCATCTCCTCTCTATTCTCCTCCAACTCTCTGTCAATGGTTTCCTTTTCTTTTGACTCTGACTTTATTTCTTTCTCCAGAGCTCCAAGCTGTTGTTCCCACTCTTGTTGTTGAAGTTCCTCCTGCCTTTTCCTCTTCCTGTCCTCCTCTTCTCTCATCTCCTGTTCTTTCCTTCTCTCCTCTCGCTCCTTGTTGATGTTTTCTTCCATTTCTTTAAGTTGTTTGGCTCTCTCTTGTTCAATGTCTTCTTTCTGTTGTTTCATTCTTCTCTTCACTGCTTCCATTTCTTCTTCATGTTTTATTTGAAGCTCCTCTTTCTGTTTCTGCATTTCTTCTTCTTTGTCCTTCAGGATTCTCTTCACTTCCTTCTCTATTGCTGCTTCGGCCTCTTGGAACATCTCTGAGTTGTAGCAGCTGCCTCCATTCTCCTTCATCATTGTGTTGGTCTTCTTCATCAAATCTCTGACTTGTGTGCGGTCTGCTTCATTGTTGTTATTGAAGACCTGGTATCTTCCTCCACAGTCATTTATTAGTTTTTTCAACAAGTCATCACAGTCGTCTGTTAGGTAACTCTCAAATGTTTGATCTTTTAGTTCATCTCCTCTGGTGAATATAATGATGATGAAATCTTCAGACTTCTTGCCAAAATATTTCTTAATCAGCTCCACAGAGTCTTTCTCCTCTTTTGTAAAGCGGCTGATCTGCAGCACCAGTAAGAACACATGAGGTCCAGGAGACAACAAGCTGACGCATTTCACAAGCTCCTCTTGAACGTGATCTTTGGACAGAGTCGTGTCAAACAAGCCGGGGGTGTCGACTATGACGACAGGACGTCCATCGATCTCTCCTGTTGCTTTCTCGCAAAGCTTGGTCACTGACTTTGAGCTGGGAGTAGATTTAAAATGTTCTTCACCCAGAATGGTGTTTCCAGTTGCACTCTTTCCACTGCCAGTCTTCCCGATCAGCACCATCCTGAGACACTCTTTACCCTGATGTTTATCATCTATTCCAATCTTACTTTTATGTTTTAGATCTTTCAGTTCAGCTTTAAGTTTTGAAACATTCTCCATCTGAGCCTTGGTGAACATCTCCATTGTGAAGCATCTGGATCCTTCAGCTCTCATCTTTTCCACAGAATCCAACAGCTCTGGGATCTGCTGCTGGTCTCTGATGTTGAGAACAACATATCTTCCTCCACAGCTCTGACAGAGATCCTGGATCTCCTTGTTTTCTTTCACAAAGTTAACAACAGCTGGAGCTTTAGGATCTGACTCCACAGTGAACAGAATCATGGTGAAGAAGTTGACCCGAGAGCTGAATGTGTTCTGGATGGTCTGTAACTCTCCCTTGTCTTCATCAGTGAGGGGACCCATAGGTAGGACCAGGAAGAAGACATGGACGCCCTCAGGACCACAGAGGG